TGAGCTATCTGGCCGACCCTTCTCAGGGAATTATTTATTTATTTATTTGCTGGAACCGGGGATTGAATTTAGGCCCTTGTGTTTGCCAGGGAAGCGGTTATTCCACTGAGCCATCTCCTCAGCCCTCAGGGAATTCGTAAAAAATGAAAGGATGTATCCATAGAAAGATTTACCCATGAATATTTATAGTCACTTTATTCACCCTAGTCCCAAATGTCTATCATCAGTAGGGTGGATGACAATGAAATATTATTCAGCATTTGCAAAAAAAGTAAGCTGATACTTGCAGCATGGATAAATCATATTGATATAATAGTGAAAAAAATGCAAACAAGTACATATTGTGTAGCTCCATTGATCTGAAATTCATGAATAGGCTAAACTAATGTGGGGTGATAGAAATAAAAAGGGAATTATATGATTAGCTTGAAAGGTGCATGAAAGAACCTTGTGGAGTGAAAGAACCGTTTTTGTCTTGGCTGAGGTGATTAGATGAATATCTACATTTGTTAAAACTTAGCATATTGGGGCCGGGGAGATGGCTCAGTGGAATAAGAGCTTCCCTGGCAAGTGCATGGGCCTGAGTTCAATCCCTGATTCCACAAAAACAAAACAAAACAAAAAAAACTTAGCATATTATGGACTCTAGATCCATGGATTTCACTATAATTGAGGTGCTGGTATCTTTTCTTCTTAGTCTTGAAAAAAATAATTTAAAAGTAGGTAGACTATTTGCTGTTTATGGCCTGTTGTTAGTGACTTTCTTTTTTTCTCTTATATTTTAGGGAAGGGTATACAGGGTTTTCAGGGTCTCGCTACTAGATTGGACTCCTTGTGATTCACCTGTTTGCAGCCTCCCAAGAGCTGGGATTACAGACATACACCACCACACCCAGTCTCAATTGTCTTCTTAGTGTGCCTCAGGGGCCGGGCCAGCACGGCAGTGACTTTCTTCAAAAATAATTGATTATTGCATATAAAAACATAAGGAAAAGATTTTATTGAATCCTTTTCTTTACAATGTGAGGTATAGATAGGCTTTGCTTATCTAATTTTCCTTAATTTATGCACCAGCCACACAATCAGAAGGTAATATTTGCATAGAAATAAATTATATTTGTATTGCTGTCTTGTAGACTAACCAAATACATTCTTTTGTTAAAGATGGGTGGAACAAGACCCCAAGGAGATTCTGCAGTCTGTCTATGAGTGCATTGAGAAAACATGTGAGAAACTTGGACAGCTCAATATTGATATTTCCAACATAAAAGGTATTTTAATAGAATGTTTTATTTATGTGATATGACTCAACCAAACTCATTGATTATTGCAACTCATAATGAGTGCTTATGCCAGCCATTCCTGTGTGAGCTTGAGTATACATTAGACAGGAAGATCAGCTTCCTGTTTTCATGGAGCTTTCATTGTGGTGGGGGTGAGGGTGAGTAGAATGAAGCAGCTGAATAGAGGCTAGTTTTATATACTTGTACGTTCCTTGCAGAACATAAAAATCAAGTGATAATATGGTGCGTGCTCAGAAGGGCTTATTTCAGATTGGGTTTCTGAGGAAGGATTTCTTGAGGAGGTGACACTTAATGAGCTTTACAAGGCCAAAGTAGGGATAGACATGTAACTGTTCAGAGGGAATAGTGTTTGCATATGCAAAGCCAAAGCAGGGATAGCCACGTAACTATCTGCAGGTAATAGTGTGGTAAGAAAAAGCTTGAGACATTCCCGAGTCAGGGAGGCCAACATGGCAAAAGGACAGTAAAAGGAGGTTGAAGGTGCCAGGCATGCCGACACATACCTATATCCCAGGCTAGGGAGCCTGAGAATCACTGAGTTCAAGGCCAGCCTCAACTACATAGTGAGACCGTGTCTCAAAAAATGGTGTAAAAAGGGCTGGTGAGATAGCCCAGTGGACTAAGTGCCTGCTTAGGTGAGCACAGGGACCAGGGTTGATCCCCGGCACCACATGCCTCACGGGCCACGCCCCAACGCATGCTGAGCCGGCCACCTAGTCCGGTCATGGTGGTGCACACTTGAAATCCCAGCACTGGTGAGGCTGAAAACAGGAGGATCACTATGAGTCCTAGCTGTGTAGTGAGACCCTGTACCAAAGACATACCAAAAAAACCCCAAAAAGTGGAGAAAAGTTTGAGGTATGAGAGTGGATAGTAGGGATTTATGTAGAAACTGAAAACACAAAAGTGAGTGAGGCCTTTCCAGCCACAGCTCCATAGGAGTTTAGGTCTTAGCATCACAGGGGAGGGTTACTTTAAATCTAGGAACTTCACTTGTAAGTTTTCTGTAAAATAATCATTTGACAGTGTATGATCTCTCTGAATTTTTAGTAGTTTTAATAGAATATCTGTCTACATTTAAATTTGCTACTTTTTTTTTTTGAGGTGGGGTCTCACTATACAGACCAGGCTGGCTTTTATTTTTTATATATTTTTTTCATTAAAGTAACTTTTATCTACAAAATATGTGTATCTGTATATATAAAAAAAGCAGAAGGATTTTTTTTTTTTGCTCCGAATGCCTTCAGTGCAGGTTTGGCTGGCTTGAGTTGTGGGGATCGAACCACAGCAACCTGAGCCTGACTGCTTTGTTGAAGCAGCCACTTAAAGAACTGAGCTAAAGGGCAGGCCCCCAGGCTGGCTTTTATTAGTTCCTGGTGATTCTCCTGCCTCAGCCTTCTAGGTGTTGGGATTACAAGCCTACTGTTTCTTCCTCAGTTTGATAGTACATAGAGAAGTAGCACTAGATGGTGGTGCCCTGATCCATATCAGGTTGCTTGAAACTTGTCACTCCTAGGACTTTCTTCTGTTTGTAAAGATAAAAGCCCCTTCAAAAAGAAGACCACACATACTCATTCAGCAAGTCCACAGAATCCCTTTTGTATGATAGGTGTGCTGGGATACAGTAGAGCATGAATAGAGCCATGCAGCTGAAGGTCAAGTAGGGGAATAACGGTGGATAAATGGATAGTTGTGCCAATAGTGTAGTTACTAAAGTTCTTACAGGTTTTCAGAGGCAGGTGGGGGTGTAGCTCAGTGGCACAGCACCTGCCTCATAAATGGGAGGTTGTGAGTTTGATTCCCCGTACCAAAAAAAAAAAAAGATTTTAAGAGAAACACCTAGGAGAAATTTGGTATTTTATAAACGTTTTTGTAAAGTCATGCATATATTAGTTGTGCTGTTTTCTTCTCTACATCTTAAGTGCTTTAAACCTCTTAAAGTTGTAGTCACCCAAGTTTAGATGTGCTGTATATCAAAGTGGTTGCTATTCTTCCTTTCTTCTCCCCTCCCTCCCTTCCTCCTTCTTTCTCTTCTCTTGGTTTGTTCTTCTTCTCCTCCTCTTCCTCCTTCTCCCCCCCTTACCCTCCTCTTTTCAAAGTACTGGAGATTGAACCCAGAACCTTCATATTGAGCTATGCCTCCAGCCCTTTCTGTTTTTTGTTTCTTTTTTCTTTTTTTGTGTGTTTTTAGGGAAGGGTCTACAGCAAGGTCAGGGTATCATTGCTAGACCAGACTCATAGTGATCCACCTGTTTACAGCTCCCAAGAGCTGGGATTACAGGCACATACCATCATGCCCAGGCTCAATTGCTCTCTCAGCAAGCCCCAGGGGCAAGGCCGAGGCCTGCATGGCACACCTGGTGATCGAACCTCCAGCCATTTTTTTTCTTTCTTTTGTTTGTTTGTTTCTAATTTTGAGACAGGGTCTTACTAAGTAACTAAGCTGCCCAGGTTGGACTAGTCCTTCTACCTTAGCTCCCAGGGTACTTAGATTATAGATGTGTACCACCGTGCCAAGCTCTGTGGGTCATTTCTTTGAGCTGTTCTTGTAGCTCTCAAGATCTAAACAGTGTAAACATGTAACAAGCATTCAGTAACATATTCTTCTTGAAGTGGTTACTATCAAACACCTGTGTAATCCATGGAGTTTAAACTCATGTTCCAAATCTACTTCAGTGTGATTGATCGTGGTGGCATCAGTGTTGTTCTGCCTTCCTTACAGGTAAGGTAAGCTATAACATATTGACCTGCTAGTCTCACGTTGGTACTAACCTGTTATTACTGGGTTTTGTGGTACATGTGAAGATGGCACACAACTGCACAAGGGGCTTGTCTTGCACTTATGGTAACCAGTCTGTGAGAACTGAATGCATACTTCTTTACATTCTTCTGTATTTGACCAGTGTGAAACCCATATCTGAGCTGCAGTGACCAATTGCATCCTTCTGTACAACTCCTAGCCAGTGGCCAAGGATGAGAATGTTCCAGAAGCACCTCTTTTTGTGGTGCTGGGGATTGAACCCGGGGCTGTGTCCATATAAGGCACATCCTCACTGTACCACTGAGCCACATCCCCACCCCTTTCACAATCATCTCTGTATACAAAGCAGTGGTGCTGATTATTTTCCCTGATCAGTTAATGAACTGCCATTGCCAAAAGCCAAGCTTTTTCCTACCTATGTAGAGCACAGTCTGTCAAAGTTATAAAGGATCTTTCTTCACCCAGAACCATTCCCTCTGGCTGCAGTGAGAGCAGGGGACTTAGCGAAGGTCCTGCAGCTGGTTAGTAGTGGACAAATTATAGCACAGTTTCCCCCCCTCATTTTTTACCCTGAGCCACACTGGTGATAATTGCACAAACTACTTCCATTTGGTATTTTCTGTGTGACAAGTAAATTAGTTTTGCCAGCTGAAGAGTGCTGTCATTCATTGTTTTAACCTGATAATCATGAACAGAGTTTATCATATCTGGTTGTATTTCTTTCACATATTCCTTTTTTTTTTGTCTTTTTGAGACAGGGTCAGGCTATGTAGTCCAGGCTGGTGTTGAGCTCACTTTGTAGTGTAGGTTGGTCTTCAACTTGAAATGATCCTCTTGCCTCAGCCTCTTGAGTGCTGGGATAACAAACATGCCCCACCACACCTGGCCCTTAATTTATCTGTTTTAGTCATCCTTGTCTGTCAGAAAGTTCACTGATTTCAGGTTGCTAAGAGCAATGACTTTCAAATTAAAAATCACTAGTAATTCTATCGCAAAGTAAGTAAGTGGGCTGTTTTTTTTTCCTTCTTGACTTGAGTCAAGAGGTTCTATTTGCCTGTCACAGAATGTAAGGAATTATGTACTGTCACTAGAATATGATATGCTTTCATTCAATTTCTTTCAAGTGATAAAAGCAAAATATAACCTCAACAGTGTGAAAGGTAAGACCAGAAAAATCCTCAAGAATTAAGTGTTCTTGTGTCTAAAGCAATTATTTTAACTACTGGAGAAAAGAAAAACCACCAGACATGAGAATGTTTACCTGTAATAGCAGTACTTTGGGAGGCTGACGCCAAAACAAGTTCTAGCTCAGCCAGGACAACTTGGTAACATAGTGAGACCTTGTCTCAAAATTTTTTTTTTTTTTAAATTTTTATTTATTTATTTATTTTCATTTTGTGTGTGTGTGGCCAGCTCAGCCCACCAGGGGGCGGGGCTGGCTGGCATGTGGTGCTGGGGGATTGAACTGCAGTCCCTGTGCTTTGCTTAGCTTAGCTTGTTCTAAGTAGGTGCTTTAGACCACTGAGCCATCTCACCAGCCCTCTCAAAATTAAAAAAAGAAATAAAAAAGTCTGTGGATGTATGTAACTCAGTGTGAAGGCCAGGGTTCAATCCCTAGGAGTACACATGCGCTCATGAAAACTCACAGGCGTTCCTTTAATGTGCCACCCTACCTGACATGCACACTCATTTCTGTTACCTCTTGGACTCAGACTTTGAAGAACTTCAGCAAGTCACCTCACCCTCCAAAATAACCATTCCAGTAGCACTGGTACCTTGTGTGGAAACCTGCTAGGAATTAGTTCATGGCGCTGTAATTGAACTTAGGGCTTTGTATGTACTAGGCAGATGCTCTCCTACAGAAACTATAAAGATGCATATTTGACAGTTGCAGGGCACCCCCAGCCCTGCAACTGTCAAATATGCATCTTTATAGTTTCTGATGGCTTACAAAGCTCTGTGCCCCTGCCCGCATAGTCCTTATGGTAGCTAGAGATCTTTCCTCTAAAGTTGTTATTTTACTCTGTTAGGTTTTTTGGTCAAAAATGTCTTCCATTTATTTACTTACTTGCTTGCAAATTTAGTTATTTATTTCAGTACTGGAGTTCAAACCCCGGGGCTTGTACACACTAGACCAGCACCCTTCACCCATAGCTACAACCCTATACCTGATTTTATTTTGTAAAAAGGATTCATGTGCGAGGCT